CGCACTCTGTGACTTAATCCTTGATGAAATAGAGAAAATATTTTAGACGCCTTTTACATTTATTAATTTATTCTAGTGGGACGATATTTCGCTGTGCATGCAAATTTTTTTATATTAGAATATTTCGTGAATACATATATCTGCCACCCTATATTAAAAGATTAAATGATCTAATATTTTTTGTGTCGTATATAAAATATGTATATGTTACTGCCATAATAACATACTTGATAGTCTTATTATAATAATGCAGAAACCCTTACCACCTTCTCCTCCTCCTCTTTCCTCTCCTATTATTCTCTTTCGTCTCGATCTACATTTTGTGGATTTTATCTTCCTAATTATTTGTTTTCTCTTCGATTAAATTTTCCCTACTCTGGTTCTTTCTCTTACTGTTTTTTTTTTTCTTCTACGTTCATCATTCCCTTTCTATTTGGTCGTTCTTCGCTAAAACCTTTGTGCTTTCAACCCTTTACCCTTTCTCTCCGTCCCTCGTAATCACCGTTCTTCTGTACTCGCTATTCCTCTTTTTACCCTCCTCCACGCTTCTTCTCTACTCGTATTCCTCTCCACCCTCTTCTAACACTGCACCAGGGATGCGAGGCAGCAGTAGGAGGTCTGCAACTGGACACTGTTTACAAGGCCACTGTGGAGGCACTGTTGGCTGATGAAGAACCTGGTACTGCCTTGTCCTTTTCACTAGACGCCGGGGCGCTCCATGTAGGTGAGTTACCCTTTTAAACTACCTGATAGTTGGCCAGGTAAAGTGGTACGACTGCGTTGTACAACGAAGCAATACAACGGAAAGTCTAAAATAGCGCTTATTGTTTATTCTGCTTAAGGTTCTGTTATGGTTATTCAGCAACGAGTGAAGATTCACCTAATATTCAAAGTATTTAGTGACGTCGAGGTTATAAAATAAACTGTCGGAAGATTTTCACTTTTTTTTCCTGAGGAATGTTTGTTTTTTATTATTTTTTCTGTGTTTTTTCCCCTGTATTTATCTATGTTTTGTTTTTGAACTTTCTTGAGCGTAAATTACTTTTTGTCTATTTTACATGTGGACTCTTGAGTTTTTTTTTTTTTAGTGATATCGTTTTCTCTGTGGATTGTTTTGTTAGAGTTAGTGTTTTCCACTGTGAGTTATTTATCCTCCTGGGCTAGTTCCCATTGTGGGTTATTTTTCCACTGTGGGTTATTTTTCCACTGTGGGTTATTTTTCCACTGTGGGTTATTTTTCCTGTCAGTTTCCTATTAATTTTGCATGTTGTTTGTTTATGGGTTGTTCTTAAAATAGTTTTCTTTGTTTTCTGTGGTTATTGTCAAATTCTTTTTGGATTGATTTTAATTAACAAAATTTCCCTGTGGTATATTTTCTCTTATTTGGTTTCTCTGTGGGTTGGGTTTCCCCTGTAAATATTTTTTCTATGGGATATAGGTGTTTGGTTTGTTGGTTAATGGGGTTTCAAGCCTATCAATTAACCTGTTATGAATAAGGCTGCTTCATAGCCTTTTTACCACCAGAAAAGAATACTTTAATCCCTAAATTAGGGATTAAAGTAAAATCTGTATATATACGACTGAGAGAAATATACCCCTCAGGGTATATCTTGTGTGAGCTGTTAGGTAAGGTTATGTAAAGGTAGTCAGGAAAAGGAGAAAGGTTTCATTACGTGGGTTTTAGTCATATGATGGTCATCTGACCGAGGCCTTCCGCTGGCTTACCCGTCTACCCCTTTAAAAATTAATGGATATGATTATAACCATTGAATCTGTGTGAGCTGTTTTCTATGGATATTTCTCTGTGGAACTTATTATTATTATTATTATTATTATTATTATTTATTATTATTATTAAAGATTAGCCGGTATTCTCCCGGCCCGGGCCTTTACCAAGTGGTGACCCGGCCTTGGCTCCCTCTTTAGGGAGTGTCTGAGACCTAAGTCTCCCATGGGAAGGAGGCACAAGTACCTCCTCATCTTCGGAACCAACTGTCCTCAGGCCTAGCCACAAGCTAGGCCTCTCTGGTCTGCCATCCCCGCCCCAAGGAGGCTAATGGGAATGACAGTCTTATGAGCTAAATGCTCGGGCTCAGGCACCTACCCTACCCTAGAAGGGTTAGGCATGGTGTCGATGTCTCTGTGGAACTATTTTCTTGGTGTTCTATTATCTCTGTTGGTCTCTGTTTTATCTTAGTTACTTTGATTATATTTTTTTTTCCTTTGTATTCTTTATTTTAAACATTTTATGTGTTGTTTGTTTGATGTTTTATTCCTGTGAATTTTATTTCTATTATGTCTCTCTTGTCCCTTGATTCTGATTTCTGCTTTTTTGTGTTTTCTTATTTAATTATTTAATATTATTTAATGTGGACTGTTTTTATGTAGGTCGTTCTCTGTGTGAACACTTTTTTTTGGTTTTTATTCCATAAGGATTATTTTTTAGGGGTCATTTTTTGCCTGTATTGTTTTCACGTTTTTGTTATTTTTCGTATAGTCATAAAATATTTTTTTCCCAATTTAGATAATTCCATGATTATTCTTGAAGTAATGTACAGCTTAAATGACCCGATAAGCTTCAAATCTCACAAAGTATCGGAACTTTTCACAGAGGGAGGCGGACTGACAACGGACGGTGTGTCGGAGTGTTATTCAGGTCTTCAGGTTCGGTGTCCGGGTTCGGAGCGCTGCGTCTCCCCTTACTGGATCTGTGACGGAGCTCCGGACTGCCCAGGCAAGTGACTCACAGTGAGCCAACTGATTTCAGTTCAATAAATGGAGATTCTGGAAGGATATAGGAAAGTAATTTTTGGAGTTTTTGTTTTGTAAATGTCATTATAATCATAGGGAAGTGATAAGCTCGTAGGGGAATGGTAGGTGTTTAGGTTTGATCCAAGATGACGAAGGGCAGCTCCAATTATTTGGATCAAACGCACGTCACCAGCAGTGCTTCAGTGTTCTTCAGAAGCACTGAAGCAAACATTTTGGGTTACCTTAAGTGTGACTTAGGCATTTAGGTAACCGAGAATAAATATGGTGGCCGTTATAGTATAGGCCTGCAAGTTTGCAGTAGGGAGCGATATTTTATGTTCCCATGTAATTAATGTCAGGCGATGAGATATTCTTACTATTAGTTTTCTTTTCATAATTTTCTAGTTAAAGCTTTATTAGACTTCCTCTAAAATTATTTTATATATATATAATGTATATATATATATATATATATATTATATATATATATATAATATATATATATATATATATATATATATATATATATATATATATATATATATATATATTTATTATATTATTTTAAGAGAAGCACTAAAGATTATATAGCTCTTGGGGAATTGGGAGATAATTTTGTTCCAAGTAAAGGGAGGGTAACTCCGATTTCTTGACTCAAGAGCCTTCCCCCAATATCAAGGTCCTCACCCTCCTTGAAGGAAGTTGAGAGTGAGACACAAGTTATTATTACAAACACGTACACAATATTTGCTAAGTGTTCTGGGTATGTGTGGACACAGACGGAGTGGACGAGGTTGGGTGCGACGCGTCTCCCTGCGACGGGTTCCGCTGCTGGGACGACGTCTGTATCGCCGGTGCCTGGCGCTGTGACGGTCACCGCGACTGTAAAGGTATGTATTCGTGGTGATGTTTTGTCTCGCACTAAAAATGGGAAAGTTTCTCCCGAAGTTCAGTCTTGGTCGTACCATAACCTGCTCACTGGAACTTAAATTCATATGATGTCCAGCTACTTGGTTTAAACCATCTAAAAATTATAGTCCATAAAAAATGTGATATGAAATTTTCTCCTAACCACTTAAGAAAAATTAAAGAAAGGTAATGAGGGGAGGGTGTCCTCAACATCAAAGTATCTTCCTGCAAAAGTTAGTGATTGCAGTTCATTCATCATATCAACATTGCTAATTTGTGGCGAAACGTTTCCTCATTAAATGTCTTGAACTGCACAAACTGTATGTGTCTTTATATACTGTCAGTATCACCATACCTTTCCAGTCATTGTTCACTCTGCCTATTATGATGTAATATACATGTATTGATAATAATATATATATATATATATATATATATATATATAATATATATATAATATATAAATATATATATATATATATATATAATTTTTCCCAACAAGTCGGTCGTCTCCCACCGAGGCAGGGTGACCCAAAAAAGAAAGAAAATCCCCAAAAAGAAAATACTTTCATCATCATTTCAACATTTTTAAACCACACTCACACTTTAAATCACTGTTTTTGCAGAGGTGCCCAGAATACAACAGTTTAGAAGCATATACGTATAAAGATACACAACATATCCCTCCAAACTGCCAATACCCCAAACCACTCCTTTAAAGTGCAGGCATTGTACTTCCCATTTCCAGGACTCAAGTCCGACTATATGAAAATAACCGGTTTCCCCTGAATCCCTTCACTAAATAAATTTCCCTGCTCACACACCCAACAGATCGTCAGGTCCCAAGTATCATTTGTCTCCATTCACTCCTATCTAACACGCTCATCCCAACGCTTGCTGGAAGTCCAAGCCCCTCGCCCACAAAACCCCCTTTACCCCCTCTTTCCAACCCTTTCGAGGACGACCCCTACCCCTCTTTCCTTCCCCTATAGTTTTTATATGCTTTCCATTGTCATTCTACTTTGATCCATTCTCTCTAAATGACCAAACCACCTCAACAACCCCTCTTTTCTGCCCTCTGACTAATGCTTTTATTAACTCCACACCTTCTCCTAATTTCCACACTCCGAATTTTCTGCATAATATTTTACACCACGCTTTTGGCCCCTTAGACGGGACATCCCCCACTGCCTCCAACCGTCCCCCCTTCGCTGCTGCATTTACCACCCAAGCTTCACATCCATATAAGAGTGTTGGTATTACTATACTTTCATACATTCCCTTCTTTGCCTCCATAGATAACGTTTTTTGACTCCACATATACCTCAACGCACCACCACCTTTTTTCCCCTCATCAACTCTATGATTAACCTCATCCTTCATAAATCCTTTCCGCCGACACGTCAACTCCCAAGTATCTGAAAACATTCACTTCTTCCATACTTCTCCCCCTCCCAATTTGATATCCAATTTTTTCTTTACTAAATCATTTAAATACCCTCATCAACCTTACTCTTTTTTTATGTTCACTTTCAACTTTCTACCTTTACACACATTCTCAAACTCATCCACTAACCTTTGCAATTTTTCTTAAATCTCCCATAAGCACAGAAATCATCAGCAAAAAGTAACTGTGTCAATTCCCATTTTGAATTTGATTCCCCATAATTTAATCCTACCCTCTCCCGAACACCCTAGCATTTACTTCTTTTACAACCCATCTATAAATATATTAAAAAAACCATGGTGACATTACACATCCTGTTTAAGACCTACTTTTACCGGGAAGTATTCTCCCTCTCTTCTACACACCCTAAAATGAGCCTCACTATCCTCATAAAAGCTCTTTTTCAGCATTTTGTAACTTGCCACCTATTCCATAAACTGGGAACATCTGCCACATTGCTCCTCTATCCACTCTATCATATGCCTTTGCTAAATCCATAAATGCAATAAAAACTTCCCTACCTTTATCTAATTACTGTTCACATATATGCTTCAATGTAAACACTTTGATCTACACATCCCCTACCCACTCTGAAGCCTCCTTGCTCATCCGCAATTCTACATTCTGTCTTACCTCTAATTCTTTCAATTATAACCATACCGTATACTTTTCCTGGTATACTCAGTAAACTTATTCCTCTATAATTTTTACAATCTCTTTTGTCCCCTTTCCCTTTTATAAAGGGACTATACATGCTCTCCGCCAATCCTAGGTACCTTCCCCTCTTTCATACATTTATTAAACAAAAGTACCAACCACTCCAACACTATATCCCCCCTGCTTTTAACATTTTCTGCATGATCCCATCATTCCAGCTGCTTTACCCCCTTTCATTCTACGTAATGCCTCACGTACCTCCACCACACTTACATTCTGCTCTTCTTCACTCCTAAAAGATGGTATATCTCCCTGGCCAGTGCATGAAATTACCACCTCCCTTTCTTCCTCAACATTTAAAAGTTCCTCAAAATATTCTCGCCATCTACCTATTACCTCCATCTCCCCATCTACTAACTCCCCTACTCTGTTTTTAACGGACAAATCCATACTTTCCCTAGGTTTTCTTAACTTGTTTAACTCACTCCAAATTTTTTCTTATTTTCATTAAAATTTTTGACAGTGCCTCTCCCACTCTATCATCTGCTCTCCTTTTTCACTCTCTCACCACTCTCTTCACGTTGCTATTTAAGCCAAGATCGCAAGTTCTGCCCATTCGGCACGACATATATATATATATATATATTTTATATATATATATTATATATTATATATATATATATATTATATATATATATATATATATATATATATATGTCGTGCCGAATGGGCAGAACTTGCGATCTTGGCTTAAATAGCAACGCTCATCTTGCCATATAGGACAAGCGAAAATTTGTGTATGCAATAACTTCGCCAAAATCATTCTGAACCTAACGAAAAAAATATATTTCACTGTGTTTGTTTAGTATTAAATTATTGTAAACAAATCTAAAATATATTTAGTTGGGTTAGGCTAAAATAAATTGTTCTTGTTATAATAAGGTTAGGTAAGTTTTCTAAGTTCCTTTTGGTACAAAATTTATTTTTTTACATTATCATTAATCAAAAAAATATATCTTTAAACTTATAAGAGAAAATTTTAGAAAGGACTTAATTTTAAATGAGTTCTTGCTAATTGACCGGTTTTACATATTCGGCACGACATATATATATTATATATATATATATTATATATATATATATATATATATATATATATATATATATATATATATATATATATATATTATATATATTATATATATGTCGTGCCGAATAGGCAGAGCTTGCTATCTTGGCTTAAATAGAAACACTCATCTTGCCTTATAGGACATGTGAAAATTTGTGTATGCAATAATTTCGCCAAAATCATTCTGAACCTGACGAAAAACATATGTTTCACTGTGTTTGCTTAGTATTAAATTATTGTAAACAAATCTAAAATATATTTAGTTGGGTTAGGCTAAAATAAATTATTCTTGTTATAATAAGGTTAGGTAAGTTTTCTAAAATTGTTTTGGAGCAAAATTAAATTTTTTTACATTAACATTAATGAAAAAATATATCTTTAAACGTATAAGAGAAAATTTTAGAAAGAATTTAATTTTAAATGAGTTCTTGCTAATTGACCAGTTTTACATATTCGGCACGACATATATATATATATATATATATATATATATATATATATATATATATATATATATATAATATATATATATATAATATATATAATAATATATATATATATATATATATATAATATATATATATATATATATATATATATATATATATAAAATATTTAATGTCGTGCCGAATATGTAAAACTCGTCAGTTAGCAAGAACTCATTTAAAATTAAGTTCTTTCTAAAAATTTCCCTTCTACGATTAAAGATATAGTTTTTTTAATTTATGTTAATGTAAAAATTAAAAAAGTTACTAACTTAAGGAATGCAAGATGGAGCTCAGTCAATCGTTAACGAGTGTGTGCGTCCATCCTTACCGGTGTTGTGCCAGAATTGTGGAGGATGGCTAATGTGATTCCTATATTCAAATCAGGGGATAAGTCCACTCCTTCAAATTACCGTCCAATAAGCCTGACATCTGTAGTGGGCAAGTTATTAGAATCAATTATAGTTGACATTATTAGAAGTCACCTTGAAGAGCATAACTTGATAAATGAATCTCAGCATGGATTCACGAGAGATCGTTCCTGCCGGACAAATTTACTGACGTTCTTCAATAGAACATTCAAGGCAGTGATAAAGAATATGATATTGCTTATTTTTATTTTAGTAAAGCCTTCGATAGAGTACCTCACAAGAGACTCTTAAGAAAAGTGGCAGCTCATGGTATAGGAGGTAAAGTTCTAGCATGGATAGAGACATGGCTTACCAATAGAAAGCAGAGTTACGATAAATGGGGTGAAATCTGAATGGGGATTAGTCACTAGTGGCGTTCCACAAGGAACAATTTTAGGCCCTCTCTTATTCATAATTTACATTAATTACCTTGATGAAGGGATTACGAGTGATATGAGTAAATTTGCTGATGATACAAAGATAGGCCGTATAATTCATTCTGAGGAGGATAGCAATGAACTCCAGGAGGATTTGCACAAATTAATGTCTTGGTCTGAAAAATGGCAGATGAAGTTCAATGTGTATAAGTGTAAGGTACATGCCCTTGGTAATGAAAATAACCCTCAAAGCTATAATCTAGGTGAAGTAGAGCTTGATCATACAGAATGTGAAAAAGACTTGGGAGTCATGGTAAGCAGAAATCTAAATCCAAGACAGCAGTGCCTTAGTGTGCGCAACAAGGCTAACAGATTACTAGGATTTATCTCAAGAAGTATAAGTAACAGAAGTCCAAAAGTTATTTTACAGCTCTATACATCACTAGTGAAGCCTCATTTAGATTATGCTGCTCAGTTTTGGTCCCCTTACTACAGGATGGATATAGACTCATTAGAGAACATACAGAGAAGAATGACTAAAATGATTTACTGTGTAAGGGATCTCCCATATGAAGATAGACTTAAAGCCTTAAATCTCCACTCTTTGGAGAGACGTAGAATGAGGGGAGATATCATTGAAGTGTATAAGTGGATGACGGGCATAAACAAAGGTGATATTAATAAAGTACTGAGGGTGTCGAACCAGGTAAGAACCAGAAATAATGGATTTAAATTGGATAAATTTAGATTTAGAAAGGACATAGGTAAGTACTGGTTTTCTAACAGAGTTGTAGATGCATGGAACAATCTTCCCAGTAGGGTGATAGAGGCTAGGACCTTGGGTAACTTTAAGAAGAGATTGGACAAATATATGAGCGGGAAGGGCTGGGTTTGATTGGTGTCAGTGGGTACGGGAGTTATTTCTTGGGTAGCTTTAGATAGAGGTCGTTTTGGTAAGAACCTGCCTTGCATGGGCCAGTAGGCCTTCTGCAGTGTTCCTCCATTCTTATGTTCTTATGTTCTTAAAAGAGCTTTAGAAAACTTACCTAACCATATTATATCAAGAGCAATTTAATTTAGCCTAATCCAGCTAAACATGTTTTAGATAAATTTACAATAATTTAATAATGAATAAACACAATGAAATACATTTTTTTTGTTAGGTTCAGAATGTTTTTTCTCGAAATTACTGTATACACAAATTTTCGATTACCTTATACGGAAAAAAGAGAGTTGCTGTTTAAGCCAAAACTGCGTTTTTCCAATTCGCTACGACGTCCTTGGCTAGTCGCAGTGTTGTTATTGATCAATACCACTCGTTCGTGGGCACAATAATATATATATATATATATATGTCGTGCCGAATATGTAAAACTTGCGATCTTGGCTTAAATAGCAACGTTCATCTTGCCATATAGGACAAGTGAAAATTTTTGTATGCAATAATTTCGCCAAAATCATTCTGAACCTAACGAAAAAAATATATTTGATTGTGTTTGTTTAGTATTAAATAATTGCAAACGTATTTAAAATATATTTAGTTGGGTAGGCTAAAATAAATTGTTCTTGTTATAATAAGGTTAGGTAAGTTTTCTAAGATTCTTTTCGTGCAAAATTAAAAATTTTTACATTAACATTAATGAAGAAAATATATCATTAAATGTATAAGAGAAAATTTCAGAAAGGACTTAATTTTAAATAAGTTCTTGGTAATTGACCAGTTTTACATATTCGGCACGATATATATATATATATATCGTGCCGAATAGGCAGAACTTGCGATTTTGGCTTAAATAGCAACGCACATCTTGCCATATAGGACAAGTGAAAATTTGTGTATGCAATAATTTCGTCAAAATCATTCTGAACCTAACGAAAAAAGTATATTTGGTCTTGTTTGTTTAGTACTAAATTATTGTAAACGTATTTAAAATATATTTAGTGGCGTTAGGCTAAAATAAATTGCTCTTGTTATAATAAGGTTAGGTAAGTTTTCTAAGATTCTTTTGGTGCAAATTTAAAAATTTTTACATTAGCATTAATGAAAAAAATATATCTTGAAACGTATATGAGAAAATTTCAGAAAGGACTTAATTTTAAATGAGTTCTTGATAATTGACCAGTTTTACATATTCGGCACGACATATATATATATGTATATATATATATATATATATATATATATATTATTATATATATATATTAATATATATATATAATATATATATATAAATATATATATATATATATATATAATATAATATATATATATATATATATAAAATATATATATATATATATATATTTTATATATTATATTATATAAGGGCTTACCCTGCAGATGGTGATGACGAGTACGCGTGTCCTGAGTGCAGCCCAGGGCAGGTGAGGTGTCCCAAGGGAGGAACTTGCGTTCCCTTCAATGCCACCTGCGACGGCGTCAGCCACTGCCCGGACGGGTGCGTCATCTAGAGGCTCCTTTATACATGGAACTTATAACCGGTTTATGCCCCTGTATTGTGGGGGTAGTAGTTTTTACCCTCTCTTGTTCTCAAGTTTTCTAGATTCATGAGGATATAAGAGTCCTTGGTCATAATCAAATCCAATTTAATTAATGGAAAGATTGGTAAAATAGAGGTAAAATCGGTAATAAAGAAGTATCTTTTTTCTATGGAAAAAATAGAATACACTTTTCTAAGATATTCATTAATATATTTCTTATTCTCGAACTAGTTTATAGTTTTTGTTCAAGCATTCTTAATTTTTTTTAGAGAGGGAAACGCTGTTAAGGTTTTTTTTTTTTCTGTTAGATGGGACGAGTCAGGAGCAGTGTGTGGCTTCCTGTCTTGTGGCCCCAGAGAACTTCGATGTCTGGAAGGCGGTCGATGTGTAGAACACCATCGACTCTGTGATGGTGTCCCTGACTGCCCTACCTCGGAGGACGAAGACGCCACCTTTTGCACCGCTTATACTTCTATCAAAGACATGCGCGTCGCTAAAGAAGATAAACAACTCATTGAGTGCCTGAGTGAAAGTTCTGTCAAGAGAATCAACTGCACTGAAGAGGAATTTCGGTGTCCCAGTGGAAAATGCATCCGTTTGTTGTATGTGTGTAATGGTATTGACGACTGTGAGACGGGAGATGATGAGATGCCTTACGCATGCGCCTTGGTAACTACTCAGGCAGAAAAGGATGACAAGCGCGTACACATTTACGAAGAGAACGAAGATGGCATAGACGATATGCTGACTAAAGAGGATGAAAGTGATAATGAAATCGATGGTATAGAGTCTCGTTGTGTAGAAGGGAAGTTAGGATGCGATGAAGAACGTGAGTATGATGATGATATAATGACTAACAGCTTTAAAAACAGCATTGCTATGGAGATTCCTCCTACAGTTGACACAGAAAATATGCCTAGTGGCAGAGACCAGGAAATTGATTATGCCAACACTGTTGAGAATGACGTTCAAATATATGACATCTCTATTTCATATTCTTCACCGACCACAGAAAACAATACTTTGAAAATTCAGGAGGAAGCTGAAGGTAGCATTATAGAGAGAAAGCATGGAGAACCTGAAGACAAGAATGAGATCAACAATGTTACTTTAGCAGAGAGCAACAGTGAGAGAGATGACACACTGCTGGACGGAGTGGATGTAAACATTGAGGTGGTGATTGATAACGCTCCTTATCTGGATTTGGATAATGATGAACTTGATTCTTCTAGCATCGAGGACTATGATAACAGTTTAGAATCGCATGTTCTTGACACAAATTTGTTGCTTAGTGCCCGGAATTTGACTAATGCTACTGCCACTGACAATACGACGTCAGTACTTGATACACCTGATGACTTCGATATTAATTCAACGACTCCGTATCTGACAGCCGAAGGTACCACTAATGATACAGACATTGAGTATGATTCCTCATCCTCTGAAGACTACAACAGAAGCGATGAAACGGTGAGTTTAACTTCGATAGATTTGGGACTCTCGGAATCCAATAATACTAAACAGTTTCCAGACATGGAACCAACTGGTCTGGATGAAGAGATGTTGTCTGCAAACAGCGAAGAAAAAGATGAGGCTTTCAAAGAAGCTGTTACCACTGAAATAATGACAGAAGTGAAAATTCTATCAGACAACGATACAATAATATCCGAAAAAGCTACAACAGTTGACTTCAGTGGCAGCGTTAATCTTCTGACGACCACCGAATCACAGAACTCACAGTCGCCTGAAACTGTCACAGAAACAGAAAGTATAATTAAAGCTGGTACTGAAGCTAGCACTTTCAGAAGTTTTGAGGAAGTCACCCCGAATGTCACTACAGCTGCGACAGTGATGGAATCAACTCCCAATGTATTAGAAGCAGTTTCCACAACAATCGTTTCCTCAATAAATTCCGTGGATTCGATACCAATTAACGCCGAAGAGGAAACAGCCACAAACGAGGAAGCACTAACAACGGAATACTCAGTATATTCTAGTGAAGCAACAACGACAATGAGTGATACGCTCTCGAAAGATACAGCGGAATCGATAACGAAAAGCACGTCCCTCACCACTGAACCAAACAACTGGAAGGACATGTCCATTGGCCAGAAGAATCTGACCATCTTGATTGCCGTTCACTCAGAGATGAACGAGAGTAAGATCCCTCAGTACATCATCCATGGCATGGATGGAAGCACTTACGAATACGAGATTGTCAGTATAGTGAATGATGATGATGAACTCTCCAACGAAAAACATAAAAGTAGAAATGGCGGAACGTCGGGGAGACAAGAAGGAAAGGAAACATCAATAAATGATGGAAGAGAGAGAGCGGATGGGAGTCACGGATACCTACAGGGCAACAACGTCTCTGCTGCTCCGAGATTCTCCTTGTCTTTCATCCCTCTCTTCCTTACTCTGTTTCCTTTATCTTCTTTATTGTTGAAGAATATATAGGATGATTTTCATTCACATCTTTATGAAGGAAGATAGAGAAACCTATTATGCTTATCAATATTAATATTATGTTTCAAAGGGAACAATACATTTGTGATTGTATTTCACGAGGTGCTAAGCCCCTGTGAAGGAGTCATAAAGAGAAGTAATCGAACTCAGTCCTGTGTATATTCACTAATCTCTGCCCGGTCTGTGACCAGTCAGGCAGTTAGTGATACCTGCAGAGAAAATTAAAAAAAATAAATGCAGTGTTCAGGACTTCGTGTATAAGAAACATCAGTACAACCAGCTGGTCTGTTTGCTTGTTAGACAATAAGATATTTATCTTATCCTATGAGGAATCTGACTTTAATGAGCTTAATAGATTATGCATTAAGTTTCCTTCTCCTGTTGAATATGAAGGGGATCTAGCATTAAATTATGAAATAACAATTGCTGAGGCACCATAACTTATGTGTTGGATCAATGTTAACTTGATATTCTCTGAAACTTGTAGAAAATAGCTAATGGTAAAAAAATTAAGAGATACAAAATGAGAAGAATCGGTGATAAGAAACTGGAAACAAAATACATAATACTTCACTGGTTTTATTTGTTCAGAACAATGTATATACAGTACTTGTTGTAATTGCACTGCCTGGGTGAGTGAACAAGTTAAATAATTAGAACATTTGTGCAAATTGCAGCTACAAAACTTAATACCCTTGTAGTGAAACTAAAAAGGCCTGAGTTTTTATGAGAAAATCATAGGCACACCAAATATGTGGGTTTATTGTCATATGCAAAACTTCATTCCATAATAAAAATGAGATGAGACCATCTTGGATAAGGTGTCTTTTTGGTGGAGTTTGATATCGTAATATGTATTAAACTCCTTTACTGTACTTGGTGAGTAGAATCGTCTTTGTATGAAGAAAACTCAGTCACCATTTGACGAAGTGCCAGGTGATTTTTTTCCTCTGACGAGCAATCCAAACATCATCATCCTTCTTGTTAATGTTGACTAGGTGTTTTGTTCTAACTATTTAGTGTATATTCTCCTTCATTTCAAGAACAGAATGTGAATTTTTTACTGACGATGACCAATGCCTATAATTCCATGAGCGTCAAAAAATTGCAATCGTTCTTCAATTTTGTGTATTTCTGAGCAAATGTTTAGTAAATATATGTGAACTGCACCAAATAATACAACTTCTGTAATTAAAAATAAAAAAAAAATCATGTGCAAGATGTGAAAATTCATAAATATATTTTGTTAGTGCAAACAGATGGTAGGTTTGCAAACAATTGTTATACGTGCTTGTTTTCAATTTACTTGAGATATTGTGCATTAACCTTAAAAAAAGAGGTTAGTTCTCTTATTACTGAAGCATTTTCTATGCCTAAATATTTGCGCAAATGAATATAACGAGTTAAATCTTTTTTAGTGTATTATAACAACGTATATGATGTAGCTAAAGTGGCTATCTTCTTAGAGTCTCTGAAGGTACTTGCATGAGCTGTGGAGAGAATTGAAACTTCTACGCGAGTTGGCATAGAGTTAAGTTAAAGATTAGCCGGTATTCTCCCGGCCCGGGCCTTTTCCAAGTGGTGGCCCGGCCTTGGCTCCCTCTTTAGGGAGTGTCTGAGACCTAAGTCTCCCATGGGAGGAGGCACAAGTACCTCCTCATCTTTGGGACCAACTGTCCCCAGGCCTAGCCACAAGCTAGGCCTCTCTGGTCTGCCATCCCCGCCCCAAGGGAGCAAATGGGAATGACAGTCTTATGAGCTAAAGGCTCGGACTCAGGCACCTACCCTACCCTAGAAGGGTTAGGCATGGTATCGATGTGTTGGCATAGAGTAACAGAGTTCTAATTTATAGAGAGGATTCGAACATCTATGAAGTCTGACTGAGCGCCAAGAAGACTTTCAGCTCTGTCACTTTCAGAGAAGCTGGTTGATGGGTCCTTGTATAGAGTACGACGTTCTAGTGATGCTTATGCTCATTCTTGTTCCGTCAGAAAAAAATTAAAGCTTTAACCTCGTACTGTATGTAGAGAGAATAATTTTGTTTGGTTATTCAGACGGAAACTGTACAGCAAAGGTGATCCGTGTATCATTCATGTGATCTATGCATATACAGACATACATATCCATTCACAGTGCGGTCAATAGTGGTCACTGATACAAAAGAACCCACATGAAAATAATGACAGAGTAATTAGAGCTGTACATTTCGGCTTATCAGTAAGGCCTTCTTCAGTAGATAACTAAAGAGTTCCTTAGCGAATAGTCCTGTGTGTGTGTACACACACACACACACACACACACACACACACACACACACACACACACACACACACACACACACACACACAATCCAATAAAGAAAGGTAAATCATGCCATCCATTCTCTTTTACCTAGAGATAACCCATATACAAATATTATCATGGCAAATTTATTCCTATCAAACAACCTTACTTCAGTATTATTTATCATTTATTATCTGGTATGTATATTTTCATTACATAATTTATGTCACAACCATTCAACTGCATCATTCCCATCCTCTCATGAGACTCGTCAACTTTACTGCAGTCATCCCTACAATCCTAATCCTCTCATAAAACGTCTCGTCCATTCTAGTGCAGTCACCCCTCACATAAGTCTCAATTCAATTATTTGTCAATATTCCATTCCTGTGAGCCTCATATCATCACAACAATTGCATTTTTTGTGTGTAAAGGTTATGAAGGTATGAGCAAATTACACGTACCTCCCCCTCCCGCCCCAAAAAATGTATATTAAGGCAAGCCGCACCTCATAAAACAAAGACTTTACCAGAGTCAGTGACCGGCGTCTTTCGAAGAGTCGAAAAAAATTCCCCTCAACAGAGGAGCTGCTCTTTTATGCCTCAGTTATTATATCAATCCCGCAAGGAGGAGTTATTTCCCAAAAAAATGAGTCGGGAGATTTTGACCCTGATACCCAAAGTAGAGCGAGACCTCCACACAGTGCCTGACCAGTCTCAAAAAACCTATCTTTGTTGATGAGTTTCCAATATTCTCCACAATTGTCCAAGAGGGTTCGAAACATCGTTCAAGTCTAATTTCTAAATTGTAAGTAACTTTAAATTTTCTTTAACTTTTATCCGTTTTGAATTACTTTGGATCTTAGTCATTAATTTATTTGGTTGGTAGGTTAATGGGTTTGAAACCTATCGACTTCACGAGGCCGCATGTAAAGCTTTCACCACCAGACTAAAATACTTGCGTGTGTGTGTATATATATATATATATACATATATATATATATATATATATATATATATATATATATATATATATATATATATATATATATATTCTACAATATTTCCCAAATTAAATCACAGAAATATCAGAGCACTGAAGTGTCATTAAAGACGCCAAATGTGATGAACCTTTTTCAACAAGTCAAAAATGCCTTCCAAGGAGTGTCCATCATGCCGCGGAAATCAAGTCAAAATTGTATGATCCTTTTATTTGCTTTTTAGCTTTTTTTTTTGATCTACTCGACGAAGATTTTGTATAAGAAATTTTTTTTTTTTTATTTTTATTATCACACCGGCCGATTCCCACCAAGGCAGGGTGGCCCGAAAAAGAAAAACTTTCACCATCATTCACTCCATCACTGTCTTGCCAGAAGGGTGCTTTACACTACAGTTTTTAAACTGCAACATTAACACCCCTCCTTCAGAGTGCAGGCACTGTACTTCCCATCTCCAGAACTCAAGTCCGGCCTGCCGGTTTCCCTGAATCCCTTCATAAATGTTACTTTGCTCACACTCCAACAGCACGTCAAGTATTAAAAACCATTTGTCTCCATTCACTCCTATCAAACACGCTCACGCATGCCTGCTGGAAGTCCAAGCCCCTCGCACACAAAACCTCCTTTACCCCCTCCCTCCAACCCTTCCTAGGCCGACCCCTACCCCGCCTTCCTTCCACTACAGACTGATACACTCTTGAAGTCATTCTGTTTCGCTCCATTCTCTCTACATGTCCGAACCACCTCAACAACCCTTCCTCAGCCCTCTGGACAACAGTTTTGGTAATCCCGCACCTCCTCCTAACTTCCAAACTACGAATTCTCTGCATTATATTCACACCACACATTGCCCTCAGACATGACATCTCCACTGCCTCCAGCCTTCTCCTCGCTGCAACATTCATCACCCACGCTTCACACCCATATAAGAGCGTTGGTAAAACTATACTCTCATACATTCCCCTCTTTGCCTCCAAGGACAAAGTTCTTTGTCTCCACAGACTCCTAAGTGCACCACTCACTCTTTTTCCCTCATCAATTCTATGATTCACCTCATCTTTCATAGACCCATCCGCTGACACGTCCACTCCCAAATATCTGAATACGTTCACCTCCTCCATACTCTCTCTCTCCAATCTGATATTCAATCTTTCATCACCTAATCTTTTTTTATCCTCATAACCTTACTCTTTCCTGTATTCACCTTTAATTTTCTTCTTTTGCACTCCCTACCAAATTCATCCACCAATCTCTGCAATAAGAAATATTGTAATAATAAAAGGTTTTATCTTTCTATATGTATCTTATCTTGCTTTATGTATCTTATCTTGCTATATGTATCTTATCATGCTATATATATATATATATATATATATATATATATATATATATATATATATATATATATATATATATATATATATCTTGCTATAAGTATCTTAACTTGTTATATAAATATATCTTATATTGTTATATGTATATTATCTTGCTATATATATCTTATTTTGCTATATATAATATCTTGCTATAGGTATCTTTTCTTGCTGTAAGTATCTTATCATACTATAAGTATCTTATGTTATTACAAGTATCCTATCTTATTATAAGTATCTTATCTTGCTGTACGTACAGTCGACCCTCAACTAACGGCGGCATTAAGTAACGGTAATTTCGTCTAACGGCGCTTTTTGCCGTAGAAAAATACCTTAACCAACGGCGAAAAACTTAATCAACGACGATCGTCCGGAACCTGTTGATGGGCGCCCAGCCACTCCAAAAGTCAGTGTACCATTGTTTACAAGGTGTTCCGGTCGGTTTCCACGTGTGCCTCCCATACATTTTTTATTATTCCACTGTTTCTAGTGCTTGTAACCGCTAAATAAGCCACCATGGGCCCCACAGAAGCTTCTAGAGCCTGCCCCTTTTGTAAACGATGTGAGAAACATGATGGAATTCAAGAAAAAATTGTAGAAAAATACGAAAGTGGTGGTGGTAGAGGGTGATAGTGATGGTGGTAGAGGGTGGTAGTGATGGTGGTAGTGGTTGTGATGGTGGTAGAAGGTGGTAGTGATGGTGATGGTAGTAGAGGGTGGTAGTGATGGTGGTAGAGGGTGGTAGTGGTTGTGATGGTGGTAGAGGTGGTAGTGATGGCGGTAGAGGGTGGTCCAGTGATTCTCAAGCTGGTCCTAGTGGCATTAAAAAACCAAGAATGGAGGTAACCCCACCAAGGGACTTGGTACCTGAAGTCTTTATGGAAGGGGATTCTCCTTCCAAGCAATAGACAATCTTGAATCTCCCCTGCTGCTGGCACATCACTCATCAACAACTCCACAATAAAAGTAAGTGGCATTTAATTGTTTATTTTGCATGTCCCATTCCTTTCCCTATAAGGAAATGTATATTTCATGTAATTTTTTTTTTTTTTAGATTTTGGGATGTCAGTAACGGATTAATTCTTTTTCCATTATTTCTTACGGGGAAAATTAACTCAACAAACGGCAATTTCGACCAACGGCAAGCTCTCTGGAACGGATTAATGCCGTTGGTTGAGGGTCCACTGTATTTTCTTTGACCATTTGTCAGCTAACACCCCTATTCCAACCTCTAATACTTTTTTTAACAGAAACCCGAGCGTTGTGATACACTGAGCTACTCAGTGAGAGACTAACAATATCTATATGCTTGCCAACGAAGATTTGCTGAGAGTACCCTAAAACCCTGCTTACGAAATTTTAGTATGTATGACTGGTGGTTAAAAGATTACATGCAGCCTTCATGACCTTCGTGTAGTCGACAGGCTTTAAACCTATAGCGCTGCTATAGCACTAAACTCATTTTTTTGTAGAAAATCATCAGAATTCTTTCAGTAAAGCGTCGTTTTTTAGTTCCATAGGTAGTAGTAAGGACATAAGTACTCGTTACGTCAGTTTTAGAAAAATCACAAAAGTCGCCACACACAGAGTAACAAAAGTTCACTTGGTGAAGGCAGCAGGTTCCCATCCCTTATATTACGCCTCTTATTTTAAGGGTGTCTGCCTGCACCCAGTTTCAAAATTGACTTGAGACATACAAATCACTCCTGCACTCAGATCGCCCTTGCAATCAGATCACCCTTGCACTCAGATCACCCTTGCACTCAGATCACCCTTGCACTCAGATCACCCTTGCACTCAGATCACCCATACACTCAGATCACTTCACTCTTAGACCATCTTTGCACTCAGATCACCACATAGGTCACGGTCTTGTCACTAAAGTTTCAGCGTTTTCAACTACAGTCTCAGCTTCCGTTTTTATTTTAGAGAAAATACGACGTTAGTAGTCATTGTAATCTTAATATATATGTAAGTTTTTGCCATGCTAAGTAAAACTATTTTGTCACTAGATCTTAGGGCAAAATGAAAACTATTTCTACGTAATAATAAAGTGTTATGAGTTAATGGTTTTTGATACTCTTTTGCATATAGCTTCACACACATGCAACAACAGCCTGGACATACAGAAGGTATGCGTAAGCGTGTTAGATAGGAGTGAAGACAAATGGTTTTTTAGGACTAGACGAGCTGTTGGAGTGTGAGCACGGTAATATTTTGTGAAGGGATTGAGGGAAACTTGTTAGCTGGACTTGAGTCCTGGAGGGAACCAGTACCGAGCCTGCACTCTGCACGCAGAGAGCAAACAGGTATTGTCGTATCTGTGTACCTCTGGCAAGACAATAATAGTTTAAATGACGGAAAAAGTCTTTCTTGGGTCACTCTACCTGGGTGGGAAACGGCCAGAGGTGTGTGTGTGTGTGTGTGTATATATATATATATATATATATATATACCAAACTTCGGCTGGCCGAGGATGGACCATGCAATTCTACAAACATCATGTACCTAGCGGAACTAGGCATGTTTCATGATGCGAGGACATACGTGGTTGTGGTAAGCTCAGAACTAATTTCATTCTGATAAATCAGACACATGTGTAACACTTGGGTGTTTTTAATAAGGAAACGTTTCGCCACACAGTGGCTTCATCAGTCCATAACAAAGGAGAACGGGGAAGAACAAGAGGAGTTTGAGGTAATCAGTCCCTCAGCCTTGAGCGTTGTAATCAGTCCATCAATCTTGAAAAAAATACATCATATGTGCGAAGAAGTCTTAGCTTATATACCGTAGGCAGGTGAGGTGCAGCAGTCGTAGGTGGTATCACATTTGTCCAATGTGGAAGTAGGTCGTGCCCAAGGGTTAGGCAAGTGAAGAATTCCCTGTATTAAGATCCCAAGATGTTGCTGTGTCTGACAGGAATGTAGATGAATGGATCAGAGAACCGACAAGTTGATAAATTAGACACATGTGCAACACTTGAGTATGTTTATTAAGGAAACGTTTCGCCACACTCGGCTTCATCAGTCCATAACAAAGGAAAACGGGAAGAACAGGAGGAGTTTGAGGTAATCAGTCCCTCACTCAAGTGTTGTACATGTGTCTAATTTATCAACTTGTCGGTTCTCTAAACCATTCATCTAATTTCATTCTACTCTCGTCTGATTACCAGCCTTTACGAGCAGTCCATATATTAACGCAACCACGTACGAAGCGTGATGTCAGCGCTTCTGGCAAGACAACGGTTGAATAATGAATGACCATGAAAGTGCTGTCTCTCTTTCCGTTGGTCACCCTACCTCCGCAAGAGACAGTATTTGTGTTGAAGAAACCACGTCATGTAGCTAGGCATTGTAATTATTAATCTAAATTCTTACATTTTGAAAAGGAATGGTTCACAATCTCTTTGTCTGGCCTTTGAAGTTGTATCTTCAATGGAACATAGTAACGTTGACAAATGTAAAGGGATCTTAATACAAGGAATTAAAGTTTTTCTCCCCTTCGTTGGATTAAAACTGATTGTTTCCCCAGGAAAATAATAATAATAATAATAATAATAATGTCGATAATGATAATAAAATAATAATAATAATATAATAATAATAATAATAATAATAAATAATAATAATAAACAATATAATAAAAATAATAATAATAATAATAATAATAATAATAATAATAATAATAATAATAATAATGATAATAATAATAATAATAATAATAATAATAATAATAATAACAGATATATGTAGTTTTAATAAGAAGAATTTCCAGCAGTAACTAGCATCACGTTTCCATTAAAAGAAGACCCGTGACTCTCTTGAAATACTTCACATTCTTGTTGCCCCTCAACCCCCCCCCCCCCCAAAAAAAAAAATAATAAAAGTTACGGAATAGGAGACTTTGGAGAAAGGAAAACATCAGTTTACCTTATGAACATATTTTTTATTGTGTTATCACATGATATAGATGTCACCATTGATAACTAAAAGCTGACAAACAAGCGTTGTAGAAAAGAATACAATATTTGTTTTTACGTAAACATACAGTGTCAATCCAATGAAGCTAATGGGTCTAATTGTTATGCAGAGCTGGCACTGGCACTAAGGTGCTCCTGTGGCACCTACACTTATTAGGTGGGTTGTACATGTACAACGTTTGGAAATTTTGATGGGGTTAAGTTTCGCTCTCCTCACGGGATTGAAAAAGGCTTCTTGGTGAGAGAAATGTATCATAATATTGAACAGTCGTTTTAGGTATACAGTTGTTGGCAATATATACGTTAAAAAACAGTAAAGCTACATGAATTTCGACAGTTTGCATTCAGTAAAGACATAAATTAGAGTTCAGCAGAGTTCATATAGAGGTGACTCGGTTTTATTTAGACAACGTTCTGGCTGTACAGTCGTCTGTTTCAAGTAAATAGAACAGTTTACTGTATTCAACTCATTGTCTAACTAAAGTTTTCCATAACAGCAATTTTGTGTCTGTACTTCATGCATTGTATACCTTTTCTAATTCTCTAAACCAATTGTATAATCAACCCAGGTTAGGTTAGGTAAGGTTCGTCAGGAAACAGGACAAATGTTTCCTGACGCGGGTCTTAGTCAGATGATGACCCGCCTTTGGAGCTTTTGGTCATCTGACCGAGGCCTTCCGCTGGCTTACCGGTCCACCCCTTTAAAAATTATGGTCATTTATAACCTTATATAATCAACCCAGAATCACTAATTTAACCAAGTGGCTATGGCTTAATTTCTTTTCAATTTTATCTTTACAATCAACAGCATACTGCTCTTATTTTCCAAGTTGTAGTTAAGGTTTGTCAGTGTTATAAGTTATGAACCTCACGACTATACTGGGACCTTTAATTAATTAAGGATGTAGTTCACCTATATACTGACAGTCAGTCCCTAAAAGAAAAATAATCTCTCAGTGCATATATATATATTATATATATATATATATATATATATATATATATATATATATATATATATATATATATATATATATTATATATATATATATATATATATATATTACGTATATATATATATATATATAATATATATATATATATATATATATATATAAAATATATGTATATATATATATATATGTCGTGCCGAAGAGGCAGAATTTGAGATCTTGGCTTAAATAGCAACGCTCATCTTGCCTTATAGGACAAGCGAAAATTTATGTATGCAATAATTTTGCCAAAATCATTCTGAACCTAACGAAAAAAAATATATTTCACTGTGTTTGTTTAGTATTAAATTATTGTAAACAAATCTAAAATATATTTAGTTGGGTTAGGCTAAAATAAATTGCCCTTGTTATTATAAGGTTAGGTAAGTTTTCTAAGATTCTTTTGGTACAAAATTAAAAATTTTTACATTAACATTAATGAAAAAAATATATCTTTAAACGTATAAGAGAAAATTTCAGAACGGCCTTAATTTTAAATGAGTTCTTGCTAATTGACCAGTTTTACATATTCGGCACGACATATATATATATATATATATATATATATATATATATATATAATATATATATATATATATATATTATGGTCTGATTTCGGTAGGTTATCTAGTCATTTTTGACAAGTGCAAATTTGACAGAGGAAATTTTCAGTGAATGAGTGACGATGACACATGTAAATGATACACTGAACACAGTGACACATGGAACTTGTAGTAAACCGTTAAACCAAGTGATGTACTGCAGGTTATGTGGGTTTTAGGAACCCTGTAAGGTACAGAAAACCCATGTGAGATACAGTCATGTGAAGGAGCATATGCACGGTACAGGAAACTATGTGAGGTACTGTAACTTCCGCAGTACATTAACTCATGCAATATGGCAGCTCAGATGAGTTACAATAACATCGAACTTGCAATACGTGTCAATTTGCAACAAGAAGCTTGATGACTGGAAAAGACAATGGACGGAGTGACGTATTGATGCATACTAGGGACGGAGCGACGTGTTGCCGCATGCAAGGGACGGAGCGACGTGTTGCCGCATCCACGGGATAGAGAACACAAGAGACGTTTCTGACCACACAAAACACTTCAAATGCATTTACAAATTTTGTACTTCACGGCATCAGTATGTATGAAATGAATCTCACATATTCAGTCATACTTTGACATTGAATACTTTTGTGTATAAGAAGAAATGAGGTATATTTTCTATACATAATACAACATAGTTTACTGTGGCTCACAGCAGAACTGTGCGTTCATGGTTAGCGCAGCTAACTTATCATCGAATCTCGGTTTATGGCTCAGGCGAAAGATACTTGAGAACACCATAGTGACGCGTGAATTCTAACTAATATTGAGGACCTGGTGCCAGCATCATCAACTTCCCTATGGTTCTGATAATATAGATCATTCATCTTATCACTTACCACTTGATAATGGCTCCATTGAACTGAAATACCTACTAAATTTCACACACACACACACACACACACACCAGTGAAGAGGCGGGGCCAGGAACTTGGACTCGACCCCTGTAACCTCAACTAGGTGAGTACACACACACACACACACACACACACACACACACACACACACTGTTCTGTCCTTTTTCGAGCCTTGATAAAGCTTCATGTGGACAAAATGTATCCTAAATAAAATAGGTAAAAACAGCAGATATGACCTTCAGATGATCCCAGGCCCAAATTGCTGTTACTATTATTATTATTATTACATTCATGGAGATCTAAGTCCTTAAGGGTAATAAAGAGCCTAGGAAATTTAGAAGTAAACAGGTTTGACTTTAGGAAAGGGAGCACAACTTTAATTTCTTAGATCGAGGGAACTTCAACAGCATCAAAACACTACATTTAAAACGGCTTTGTTAAAAACAATATTCCTTTATTGCTGATGGGGCAGTACACGCCACTATGCTGATGGGGCAGTACACACCACTATGCTGATGGGGCAGTACACGCCACTATGCTGATGGGGCAGTACACGCCACTATGCTGATGGGGCAGTACACGCCACTATGCTGATGGGGCAGTACACGCCACTATGCTGATGGGGCAGTACACGCCACTATGCTGATGGGGCAGTACACACCGCTATGCTGATGGAGCAGTGCACGCCACTATGCTGATGGGGCAGCACACGCCACTATGCTGATGGGGCAGTACACGCCACTATGCTGATGGGGCAGTACACGCCACTATGCTGATGGGGCAGTACACACCACTATGCTGATGGGGCAGTACACGCCACTATGCTGATGGGGTAGTACACGCCACTATGCTGATGGGGCAGTACACGCCACTATGCTGATGGGGCAGTACACACCGCTATGCGGATGGAGCAGCACACGCCACTATGCTGATGGGGCCGTACACACCACTAGGCTGATAGGGTAGCACACGCCACTATGCTGATGGAGCAGAACGCACCGCTATGCTGATGGAGCAGCACACGCCACTATGCTGATGGGGTAGTACACACCGCTATGCTGATGGAGCAGTGCACGCCACTATGCTGATGGGGCAGCACACACCACTATGCTGATGGGGCCGTACACACCACTATGCTGATAGGGCAGCACACGCCACTATGCTGATGGAGCAGCACACGCCACTATGCTGTTTCCAAACTTCTTCCCCCCTAACTGTCACGTTACCGTGAAATTATCAATATAGTGCTACAACAATAAGGAGAAAGAATGGACGGGATTTTAATCGTAGTTCATGCATATACTAGTCCCACCGCTGTAATCATCTTGTGATGTGCGTGAACCTCGGGTCGAGTCACCGTCCATTCCTGTGTTCATTAATGACAGTCGTTTATCTTGGTCAAAAGTTCTATATTCGGAAGGTTAATATAGCAAATTATTAGGATGCTGAAGAGGGTAAAAATAGAAAAATTACCAAGAAATTGCCGTAAATAGAACGAAAAAAGGTAATTGTCTATATAGTTCCAGAAACTGAAAGAAGGTAGAATATTACATGTAAGGTTTCATAAGATGACTGGAAAGTTACCAAATTACTATGTAATAGTTATAAGAAGTGATATAAATAAGGTTTCCGAGTGCTTCCGTGTAGGATGAAGCGCACAGCATCTGTACCCATCAAGGAGGAAGCTGAGATGCTCTTCTCGTGATGATGATGATGGTATCTTGATGCAAGGAACTGAAGCTACCCTACACTTCTTCCTGGAAAACCCTAGTAGCTTTCCAGTCCTCACGTAATGTGTGATCCTTACAGATTTAATTCTCCCTGACTAATAATAATAATAATAATAATAATAATAATAATAATAATAATAATAATAATAATAATAATAATAATAATAATAATTACGGCAATGTCCTAAATAGTTGAAGATTAAGATACATGTCCAACAGTTGGGTATCTTTATTGACGAAACGTTTCACCTACACACCAGGCTTCTTCAGTCAAGTACAGAGGCAGCAGGTGTGGTAGTGAAATAAAGATGAAGTAATCAGTCCATCAATTTTTATTTTATTACTATTACTCCAGCGAATATAACACTGGAGACAAAGAAAATATAGCAGTAGCAATAGTTTTGAAGCGATGTGTCCCTCAGGTTGTGTTATATTCGTTATATTCAACTGAGGAAGCTATTGTGCAGAGAAAACGTGTCAGCAATGATGGTACCTAAGTGATGCACTTTTGTTTTTGTCATTAACTTGTCTGTTCTGTCTACCATCAGTAATTTTAATACCTCACGTTACCTCACGGTTATGTGTAATCCTTGTACTTTATAAAGCCTCTAGAGAGGGAAATATTGCGAAATAAAAGCTTCTTCTTTGATATAAATGACTTTACACCATGGAGGTCTCTGCTATGCATTGTGTTGGTCAATGATCTCCCTCAAAGTTTGAGAAAGTTCCGATGACATATGTTTAGCAGAGGTTCGATGTTTTTACTCAAGGTATTAAAATTTGGAATCGTCACAAATACACAGTTTTCTACGAAGGTCCATGAAAAGATCTGTCATATTTTCGGGCCTAGCAAAATCACATGAATAATCGCCACATATTTCACACAAAATATTGGCCAGTTGTATACATGAATATCTCAACCAACATTGATTTGTCAAAGATCAGAACTTGAGCAGAGAACATAAAATCGAACCTCCACTGCTGAATAATCCACGAAACAATGCAACACAATCCACATTTGCGTTCAGCAACAAGAGTTGTCTTGTGCTATGAATATTACAATTCTGAAAAAAAAAATTTGTCAGCCTTTGGCTGTTAATTAGACTTTAGGGGCTTTTACTTCAAGCAAATAACAAAGTAATTAGGGGTTCATCAATGAAATTCATTTAGACACAACTTTCGGATGAATTTACATACATATTTATCCGTGTCTGATCATACTTCAAAAACTTCATCGTCATACTAAATACAAAAGTGTACTGCTGACAGTAATAAAAAACAGACAGAGGTATAGAAATAGAATTTAATGGGTTACTGTTTTGCTCTAAGTAAATTTATCAAGTCACTGATAAAAAAGCTCTACACAGAGCGCAACAGAGTCACAATAATAGCAACATTGTCACGATGATAACGTGTTCAGTACCTGTGTCTCGTCTTTATTATTCATCCTCATAACTGACTTCAGACACTCAAGTAAATAGACTGTGCTAACGTATTATTTATTTTAATGTTTTGTTGTGAATAAATTATCTTAGACGTTCAAAATATTCTTTGGTTTTCTCTTCCTGAGAAAGGAAAACTTTGATTATGCATTACTGCTGCCATGCCAGGTTGAGCAGATCAAGAAGGAAGAAATTTGTAAAAATTTTGTGCGAATTGAAACCGACATTACCAGCTTGAGCAACAAATGGAATACACAATGACTGTTGTCATCAAATATACATCAAAGAAATTATAGATTTGTATTATAATACTTTTTTGACGGCATCAAGAGATTTTCTAGCTCCTCTTCAAGGTACATAAGCAAATCAGGGACAGGGACTCTAGTAAACATTTCTGCGACACTAACTATCCACTGTGCCAGGGATAATTAATCTTCCCTGGCCCTTCCCCAGTTTTCGAAATTCATATAGATGTTTTTTACAGGCAGATCCATACTACTAAGTGAATTTGATTTATTCTTGGCCTCACTGTTTAGAATACTATATAATCGTACACTGTAAATTTTCATTACTGAACATCGTATATGCGTCTTGCTCATCTTCGTACAGTATACTAGCAGATTTTACTTGGAATGCACACTTCTAAATCTGCACAAATCTGCACATTTAGAAATGGTTTATAACATTTAGAAATGGTTTATAACGAAGTGGCTTTTCAAAATGTATGGTAGTAATGGAAAGGTTATTTTAACAGGGTCACTAGAGCTCCATACTTTCTCATGGAATAATGCCTGAGGTTAATCTTGTAGGCAGAAGAACATACCAATATAACACTGAAACAACGGATCATATTTTATGATATAGGCAGAAGAACAAACCTTACAGAACACTGAAACAGTGATTCAAACTTACCTGGCACTATGCCTGTGATTCCACTCACACCCAAAAATATCTTGTAACACTAAAATAATGACACTCGTGCTATGGCCTGAAGTATGGCAGAGAAAATGATTATTTTCGAATGTTCCTGTGGATATATCACACATCACTACTGCATCTTCTTCCTTGTGACTTGCAGGCACTTTGCAGGAATTATAAAAAATAGTCATATGTCTATAATTTTTCTTCTTGTTAACATTTAGTGATTGAAAAAATACTGTGACGAGTGATAGGTTGACAACAAAATAGGAAATACAGTAATGACAACAAATGGGCAAAAATAAAACACACGAATATGCCCAATTAATACAGGATTCTTCTTACACAATTAAGAGTTTCTTTACGCATGGGATGAGCTTTTCCGAGTGTAGGTCTGGCCTGCATACGCCTAGGGCGAGCTCCACAGAGCATAGGACCAGGTTGTTTACACATCTGGGAGGTTCTTCCTGGCGTAGATTCAGTTTATATAGACATGAGGGAGACATCTAGAGAGTGTAGGACCAGCTTGTCTACACATGAGGGAGACATCTAGAGAGTGTAGGACCAGCTTGTCTACACATGAGGGAGACATCTAGAGAGTGTAGGACCAGCTTGTCTACACATGAGAGTGAGCTCTACAGAATGTATGATCAGCTTGTCTACATATAAGGCGAACATGCTATTTGTATTGAGTGACTTTATCTACACCTCTGGCAAGCTTATCCACCCTCTGGGATAACTTTTCCTCTCTCGTGGCTAACTTGTCCACAGATGGAATGTACTTATCCACGCAAGGAGCATACCTATCCACACACGGGACATACTTATCCATCCCGGGAACGTACTTATCCACACATGGAACAAATCTGTTTACACATGGTGGGAGTTTATCTACAAACGATGTTCCTTGGTCACGCAAAGGGCGAGCTTTTCCAAGATTGGGGCGACATTGTCAGACATACGGCAGATTGGCGAGCGGAGAAGGCGAACTGGATTCGATCTGAAAATAAAGCAATTCACTAAATCTTGTGATATATATATATATATATATATATATATATATATATATATAATATATATATATATATATATATATATATATATATATATATATATATATATATATATATATTATATAATATATATATATAACCACTTTTCTAACTGTTTTAGTGACGTTATTATTATTATTATCAATAACTCATGACCTTCAGCTATAAACCTGGGTGGGTCATTTAGCACAAGGAATAAAGATGGTTTTGCCTATGTAGGAATACTTACCTAATTAAGGTATCAGCTACTCACCGAGTTGGCGGAGCTCCGGTGTAGGTTCCCCAGGCTCGGCATGGTGACCCCAGCAGCACGGCGAGACCTGATGTGACCCACACTTTCACTTCCATTCTTCTTAGGACTGCTGCTGCTCCCGGTGTTTACAGCCGAGGAAACTATCCAAGTGTTTAGTGTTAGACTTGTGTTTGGTATTAGACTTGTGTTTGGTGTTAGACTTGTGTTTGGTGTTAGACTTATGTTTGATGATGCTTGTGTGTAAAAATATTCACAGTTTGTAAATTATCACGTATTCTATTATTATTAAAATTATTATTACTGTCATTATTATTATAATTACTACTTTTATTATATAATTTGAAGAGCTATATGTGTGTGGGTCATTCAGCTTACTCCTCCATTCAGTAATCACGAGAGAGACTAACTACTAAGCCAAAAGTCAAACAACACTGTTTAACAGCTCACCTCCAGGGACGTTGGGAAGAGAGAGGTCATCATTAAGAAGGCGCGGCTTGGCCCATCCCATAACTTCTAGTTTTGGTCGTCTCGTAGAATCCCTCAAGTCTCTGTGTCCTAATGGGTCTCTGGGATTATCCTTGATCTCCTTGAGTGGGTCTCTCGTGTACTCCCTGACGTGGGTGTCTCTATTGGTTGTGTTCTCCCTGGGCTCTCTTGCCACCAGCTCCTTCGTGCGGTCGAGGCTGATGGTATACGGGTGGCGGGACAGGTCCATTGTCCGACTCGTGTCTGAAGATCGGGATAAGTCACTAGTGTGGTGACGGATGCCTGAGATTATCGACGGAGGACCATCTAAGGTGAGGCCAAAGCCAAAGTGATCGTCGTCTTCCCAGTGGCTCTGACCCTGCCCTGATGCCTGGCCCTGGCCCTGAATGCACAGACCCTGACCTCGGTTTTTAAGGCTGGCACCCCAGATGCTGACGGGAGATTTCCGGCCTTTGTCGTTCCCTCTGCAGAGAATTGAAAATTTAGGATAATTCCAGCTAATACTCAAATTTACATTATATATATATATATATATATATATTAATATTTATATATATATATATATAATATATAATATATATATATTATATAATATTATATAATATATATATATATTTTATATATATATATAAATTATATAGAATATATATAATTTTAAATATATACCTTATAATTAAAATATATTTTTGATAATGCAATTGTAAAATGTTAATTTACAAGAACTCATTAAAATTAAGTCCTATTCTAAAATATCTTATTTAAGTATTAAAATATTTGATTTTTTTGATTAATGTTAATCTAAAAAATGTTTTATTTTCCACCAAGAGGAAATATCTTAGAAAACTTACCTAGGCCTTTATATAACAAGAGCAATTAATTTTAGCACTAATCCAACAAACATATTTTGATTATTTTACATATAATTATAATACTAAAAAAACAGTGAAATATATTTTTTTCGTTAATTCAAAAAGATTTGGCGAATTATGAATACAACATTTTCGTTTTAATATTATGGCAAATAAGATCGGATATTTAAGCCAAGTCGCAAGTCTGCCATTCGGCACGATATAAAATATTTTATATATATATATATTAATATACTATATATAATATATATATATATATAATATATATATATATATATATATATATATATATTATATATATATATATATGCAAAACAACCACTGTGAAAGAATAGAGAAATTCCAAGCACTTTCGTGACTACTCACATTATCAAGGAACAATGAAAGTAAAGCATCAAAGGAAGGTATATAAAGGGGTAGCTCACACCTCACTATCAGATCCCACAACAACGAAACACCTGACGCGAGACAGCAGGCCCGCCGGCCGAACTAGACAGGTCCTTCACACAACCCACCAACAAACTATTCTACCCAAGAAATAAGAAATTTAAAATTTTTATTATTTGTCGAATGTATTATTAAATTCTTCCCAAATTCTTTTAATTATAATTGGATCTAATTTATATAAACCAAAGATCCATTTATAATTAAAAGAATTTGGGAAGAATTTAATAATACATGGGACAAATAATAAAATTTTTAAATTTCTTATTTCTTGGGAAGAATTGTTTGTTGGTGGGTTGTGTGAAGGACCTGTCTAGTTCGGCCGACGGGCCTGCTGTCTCGCGTCAGGTGTTTCGTTGTTGTGGGATCTGATAGTGAGGTGTGGGCTACCCCTTTATATACTTTCCTTTGATGCTTTACTTTCATTGTTTCTTGATAATGTGAGTAGTCACGAAAGCACTTGGAATTTCTCTATTCTTTCACATTGGTTGTTTTGCATATTCTGAAATCACCTGTTTACTGTGATCTTATTGCATATATATATATATATATAATATATATATATATGATATATATATATATATATATATTATATATATATATATATATATATATATATATATTTTATGTATATATAATATATATATATATATATATATAATATATATATATATATATATATTTATATATATATATATATATATGTTATATAATATATATATATATATATATATATATATATATATAATTATAATATTTTATATATATATATATATATATGTCGTGCCAAATAGGCAAAACTTGCGATCTTGGCTTAAATAGCAACGCTGATCTTGCCTTTATAGGACAAGTGAAAATTTGTGTATACAATAATTTCGCCAAATCATTCTGAACCTAACAAAAAAATGTATTTGATTGTGTTCGTTTAGCATTAAATTACTGTAAACGCATTTAAAATATATTTAGTTGGGTTAGGCTAAAAAAAATTGTTCTTGTTATAATAAGGTTAGGTAAGTTTTCTAAGATTCTTTTGGTGCAAAATTAAAATTTTTTACTTTAAAACATAATGAAAAAAATATTCTTTAAACATTTAAGAGACATTTTCACAAGTTTTAATTTTCAAATATGATTTCTTGCTTAATTGACCAGTTTTAATATATCGATATATATATATATATATATATATATATTTTATATATATATATATAAAAATATATTATATATATATCATATTAATATATAGATATATATATATATATATAGTAACATGGGACAGGTCCTTTGCACAACTCACCAACAAACTATTCTACCCAAGAAAATTTAAAAATTATTATTTGTCCAGTGTATTATTAAATTCTTCCCAAATTCTATTAATTATAAATGGATCTAATTTATATAAACCAAAGGAAATATTCATATTATTGTCAAAACTGCTTTTTATGAAACAAGATTCATTATATTCCTGTCGACCATGGACTTGCTTGATACTACTTTCCTCAACTTTTTGAAAATCAATTGGATGGTTAAAATCTCTTACATGAATAAATAGAGCATTGGAATCTTGTCCAGTTCTAATGCTATATTTATGTTGTTTTAATCTTAGTTCGAGATTTTTACCAGTTTGACCGTAATAAACTTTATCGCAAATTTTACAAGGAATCTTACAGACACATCCATCAGCATTTTGGGGAAATTCTTTATCAAAAGTTTTTTTTACTGTATCAACATTTTTGAATACAACTTTAATATTAAAAGTCTTAAGAAGAGAAGGCATATCAACCAAGTTTTCATGGTAAGGGAGAACCAACATATTTTTAGTTGAATAAGGCTGGTTGTCCCTTTTTGGATTGTAAAAAGTATTTCTAGCAACTTTAAAAGATTTATCAATTACATTTCTTGGATATTTTAAATCATTACCTATTTCATAAATTTTGGATATTTCCTCATCTATGAACTCAGGACTACAAATTCGTAAAGCTCTCAAAAACATTATGAGAAAACAGACAGTTTGACTCTATCTTGATGCGAGGAATAATAGTGGACATAGGAACAGTTATTTGTAGGTTTTCTGTAAATTTTAAATTTGAGTTCATTATTACCCTTAATAATTAAAACATCTAGAAAAGGCAATGAGTTATTTTCTTCAAACTCAACAGTAAAGTTCATAGAATGGGCTAAGTTATTTAATTTTCCAAGGAAATGGTGTATATCTACATTTTTGGGCATAAGACACAAAATATCATCAACATATCTGAACCATTTAGCTCTATTAGGGAGGATTGTGTTAAGCAACCTTGTTTCAAAAAATTCCATGTATAGGTTACTAACAACAGGTGAAAGAGGATTTCCCATTGCCATACCAAAGTTCTGAGTGTAAAACTTATCATTAAATACAAATTTTGCATCAACAATGCAAAGTTTAATAAGTTTTATGATAGTAGGAACTGGCAATGGTAAATCATAGTTAACGAGTTCTTTAGATAAGAAACTTAATAAATCATCAACAGGAACTTTCGTAAACAAGGAAGTAACATCAAAACTAACCATGTTAAAATCATTTACGTCAGTCAAGGAGCTTAATTTATCAACCAAGTCTATGTTGTTTTTAACATTAAAGTTAGAAATTTTGCCAACATTAGGGCTCAAAATATCAACAAGCCATTTGGATAATTTATATGAAACTGACCCTATGGAGCTAATAATTGGTCTGACTGGATTCCCTGGTTTGTGTGTTTTTATTAGTCCATACATGTAATAGAGCTAAATGGTTCAGATACGTTGATGATATTTTGTGTCTTATGCCAAAAAATGTAGATATACACCATTTCCTTGGAAAATTAAATAACTTAGCCCATTCTGTAAACTTTACTGTTGAGTTTGAAGAAAATAACTCATTGCCTTTTCTAGATGTTTTAATTATTAAGGGTAATAATGAATTCAAATTTAAAATTTACAGAAAACCCACGAATAACTGTTCCTATGTCCACTATTATTCCTCGCATCAAGATAGAGTCAAATTGTCTGTTTTCTCATCAATGTTTTTGAGAGTTTTACAAATTTTAGTCCGAGTTCATAAATGGGGAAATACCCAAAAATTTTATGAAATAGGTAATGATTTAATATCCCCAAGAATGAAATTGAAAATTTTTTAAAAGGCAGAAATACTTTTTAAATAAAAAAGGGGAAAACCCCAGCTTATTCAACTAAAAATATTTTGGGTTCTTCCCCTTACCAGAAAACTTGGTTGAATTTTCTCTTTTAAGATTTTTAATATAAAAGTTGTTTTCCCCAAAAATCTTGTCAGTAAAAAAACTTTTGATAAAAAATTCCCCCCCAAAATGCTCTATGACGCGGGTTCAATCCCGGGCCGGGGTAGGTCAAAAGATTTCCTTTAAAATTGCGAAAAGTTTTTTACGGTCAAACGGAAAAAATCCGAACAAAGTTAAAACAAAAAAATATAGCATTAGAACGGGACAAGTTTCCCAATGCTCTATTTATTCATGTAAGAGTTTTTAAACCCTCCAATTAAATTTTAAAAAAGTTGAGAAAGAGTATAAAAGCAAGTCCATTCGACGGAATAAATTTGAATCTTGTTCAAAAAAGCATTTTGACAAAAATATGAATTTTCCTTTGGTTTTATAAAAATTAGACCCTTTATAATTAATAAATTTTGGGGGAAGAATTTAATAATACACGGGACAAATAATAATTTTAAAATTTTTTTTGGGTGAATGTTTGTTGGTGAGTTTGCAAAGGACCTGCCCAGTTGGGCCGGCGGCGTCAGGTTTTTAACCGTTGTGGGATCGAAGTGGGGTTTTTGGCCAGACCCCTTATATAGCTTCCTTGGAGCTTTACTTTAAGTTCCTTGAAAAGTGAGTAGCACGAAAGCGTTTTAAATTTTTTCTCTATCTTTCGGTGATGTTTTGAAATTTTCTAAAATCACCGTTTACTGTGATTTTTTGCATTATATATATATATATATATATATATATATTTATTTTAAAAATTTTAAATATATATATATATATAAATAATAATATATATATATTATATATATATTATATAATATATATAAAAAATTATAATAATAAAAATTTATTTTTATATAATATTATATTTATATTTATATATTATTTATTTTTATATAAATT